AACCCCAACAAAAATGACATATTTTCAAAATCCGTTTTTCACACCGAAGGCAGCGGTACCATTCATTTTTGCCCCATATACTCCAGTTTTTCTGTTACACGCTATGTGCTTGATTTTTTTGGGCCATTCTGCTCAGCTACTCGCTAATTATTACTAGTTGTTTATATATATATATATATATATATATATATATAAACAAACTGGTAACTGTCCACGTGCAGCCTTTCATCAAATAATCAAGTGAACCATTATCTTCATTATTGTATGCCAAGTACTTTGTGGATACAATTACTCTTTTGCCGCTGCACTACAGTGAATAGTTGCATATCAAATATTGACACCAATGCTCTGTCATTTTGTATGTAGTTGGATGCTGCCAAGCTTAACATGTCCACTCTGTCAAAGCAAAATATCAATTGAGAGGAAAAATCTTCCTGAAAGGCGTAAATAAATTTGTTAGGCAGTACGCGGTCAGCCTGCTAGCTGAACCATGCTGCTAAGTGAAGTTAGTCATGTCTTCATTAAATGCTAACATTCGCTAAAAATGTCCACGCTGTCATTGTTAGCAAGTTCACAAATGTTGCTCTTAGCATGTGCATTGTCTGCTTGCAGGTCATTTATATGTTTAAAAAAAAATGTGGCACCTCGAAACATCATCTAACATCTACGTACATTGATTATTAAGTTCAATTGAAAATCGTCACGTTTTTGATGAAATGGCAAGCCTCAAAGGCACCTGATTGCGTTATTGACTGTTTTGAATCCATTGTATTCCTGTGGGATACAAGAAACTTTCTTCATTCATCCCCTTCTCAAATGTCAGAACAATTATCGTATTTATCGCCGAATCCTCACTAGAGTTCTGAGTTTGAAGCAAATGTTATCTGTGTCAGCACATGCTCCCTCACATGGATGCTTGTTTCATGTCGAGATTGTCCCCGCAGAGAAGGCAAACTTTTTTTCTGTCCTGTGTGCCGCGCACTGACTGCACACGCCAGAGGGCTTTGAGGTGCTGCCACTCGTCTCAGCAGCTCCCCTTGCTTTGTTGCCACTGCCAACAAACGTGAATGTCTTTGAGAGCATGCCACTCCTCCCTGTCCCTCCGAAACAAGAGCCCGGCCAAAACCCGACTGCTGTGGAAATACTCAAATTGTTTTCTGCTGTGGAGATAAACACCATGTAAATTCCTGAAAATGAAAATCGCCCTTTTATGAGCTTTGGTTTTTGTTCTTAATTTTGTCATTATTGCACCTCCAGGGGAGGCGCGTAACCAAAACAACGTTTTGTTGTTGTTTTTAGCTTGCCGTGCACATTTCAAAATTGCCTCGCATTGTCAGTCAGCAGATCTGCGGCGGCGATGGCTTGTTATTGTTCCAGCAAAGCGCCATCTGCCTCGTGCCTGCAAGCAAGCCAATCAGCGTCCTGTCTGAAATTGACTTAGTTTCGAGCTACCGGCCTCGATGCCCGTTCTTTTCAAGAACTTCGACATACATCCAAAATCAATAGAGAAGCTCATAAGAGCGTGTCCCGACTTGCTCCAATGTGGACTACCCGGGGGCCATCTTGTGTTTCGTGCGGAGTTTGCAACCTGGGTAGAGTTGTTATTTATTTCTTTATTTATCCCAAGTCACAATCTCCCGCAGCCTCGTCCCTTGCGGCCGCGTCCCCTCTCGTACGCCGACTGCACATCAATGGCAGCGTTAAAGGTTACAAAGCTCGACAAAGCCGCACTTTGGTAGCGCTGCCTCGAAGCTTGACTGGAGCTACTTTGATCCCAGAGCCACGCGCTCACACGCGCAGTCGACTTCCTCAGTGACACGCTTCTCCAACAAGGACTTAAAAGCGAGCACATTTTACACGCGTGTCACAAAGTAGGCTGTGTAATTACTGGTGAATGCCAACTTGTATGTCAGGCGCATGAAGCATCGTAGCAACCTTCTGTGACCCATAACCTCATTTTTACATCTATTTACGGTACAAGCTGTAAAACCTGACATAGCTGATGAAGTGTTCCAAAGCACTCTTTAGTAATTCCCTTTGGAAGATAAGAGAGACTCAATACAGATCATTAAAGCAAGGCCTTCATTGCCAGTCATCTTTACCTGCCGATACTTTGCAAAGAAACCTCTTTTTTCCTCTTCTCATTATTGTGCCCAAAATGAGAGGGGGAAAAAAAAGTGCAATCTCCAACATGGAACACAATCCATTCTGTATTGGCGGGTGATCGGAAATATACAAACTGCTGCTATCGTAAAACCGTTCTGACTGAAATAGCGATTTTAACTGTCACGGAAGTGTAAAGAGAATCTAAAAGAAATAGAAACTACTATTGAAACTACTTCACTTTTGAAGATGCCTGACCAACACTTCATGGAGAGACTCGCTGTGTTTTATTAACCTAATTGTATGGAGTGTTTTATAAGTGACTGTCAATCAAATGCTACTTCTACTGCCCCTAATGCCACTTTGTCTCGCATCCGTTTGATGCCTATGACGACAGTAATGACATGTTTCAGTGACGATGAAGGTGCTCTAATACACCACCCAGAACCTCTGCTCCACATGCTAGCTGTCAATTCTGGCGTTTCCCCGCCTCACATTTTCACACACTCGGGGCAACAAAAATTGGCCAGACCAGCGTACGGTCCAAAGGGAAGTTGCATTTTCGGGCTGTTGGCATTCCTTGCTTGATTACTGCACATTGCAATTGCACTGGATGACCACAGATGTAAACAAAGATGCTTACAAAATCACGCAAAATTATTTTTGGAACAGTCAAAGGCTGAATTGCCAAAGTGACTTTGCGAACAAAGTGACTGAAAACCCTTTGGAAAGGCAATATGAATTATGTTACAAGATGCTGGCCCATTTGCTTCTGTGCAATTGGTTATGCATCTTATTTATGCTCAAGGAATCCGTGCTTGTTTGTCAAGGTCACTTATTAATCTCTGGCTTTCCATCTCCCAATTATGTTTGCATTGTCTCGAATTATGCACCAAGCTTAATTTTGACTTGCAAAGACTTGCAAGTGCACTGATGCATGCAGCCATGCCGTAATAATGACATGCATTGACCCAGCCGATGAAGGTCGTTTATAGGTCATGCAAAAGCTTCGCATTGACCATTATTTCAAAATGTGCACGTTGAGAGACTTAATATAGGTAGGACCTGTCGTTTTAGAAGTGTGTGCAGTTGCCTGTTGTCAGGTGGACATTTTCATGCTCAGATACACATTACAGGTATGAGCACCATATTTTTTTTTTTTTTAAGAGAAGCATCACTGCTTTGTTTATATTAATTCATTTTATTAATGTGGAAATATTTTGTGAGTATTTTTATATTCCATAATTTTATTTCTTTGATATTTGTATTTACAATTTTCGACGTCTTCACTTTACATACTGTCGCTAATCATTATATTGTGATATGATTGTTGGCAAAATATCTCTGAGCAAGTCCCATTTTGACTGTCATTTTGTTGACTAATTTGGAATTTTCGAGCCTTGATCCTGATTCATTTGCCACAAGATGGTAAAACCAACACAGCCACAAATCTCTCCCATGATATGCACCACAATTATTCCTCGGACAAGATGACTTGTCATCTTTTATCCAAGTTAGGTTTAGGCAGTATCTGCTGCGGTTGTGCCATTATTGTTACTTTGCTCCAGCAAAGTTGTTTCCTTGTTTGTTTGCGCTCCCCCTCTGTATATTCCAGGCAGAATATGCTCCGCTTTTGATTAGCTGGGTGCAATGGGCTTTTGGAGCCTCGGCACACCATCGTAATTAGACTGTCAGTCAAAACCAGATGGCTGCTGCCTGAAATGGGAAAGTCGCCTGAAAGTTTGTAAATGAGTCTCTTCTTTGTGTTTATTTATTTGTTGTTGTGCTCGCACAATAGATGATGGCTCCTCCACATGGGAGGATTAATGGACAAACTTGTGATCGGATCAACCAACTTCACACCGATCGGGATTGATAGTTATCCCAAATCTTACTCTTATACCAAGAATTTGTCTGCCTTAGCTTGTCAAATCAAAGTCAGTGGGTAGGTTCTCCATCGTTGCATGAAATGTTATTTATTTATTTTTTTACATGGAAGCTATTACGCTCTGGGTGATATCACCCATTATGGAATCGCATAATTTTTTGCGAAATTAAGTCAAGTCAGGGCACGTTTATTTATATGTTTGTGCATTTCATACACAACTCAAATGTGTGACACATTATCAAAAGTCCGACATCCAAAAGTATCCATAAACAAAAGAGTTAGACATTCAAAAGCAAAGAAAAGTAACTTCCTAAAATTGCTAAGATAATAATAATAACAACAACAATAATAATAATAATAATAATAATACTGTAGTAGGAAAATGAATAAATATTAAAAAGTGTACCATGGAAGAACAATTCAGTGATTGAAAGAACAGTAGCAGAATTTTAAATTCTATTCTATAGCTCACTGGGAGCCAATATAAGGGCCTGAGGACTGGAATAATGTGTTCTGAGCTGAAATTGATCCAAATCAATCAGCACACCAAGGTTCCAAACTTGGTCTTTGGTTTTTAAAGACAGAGAATCCCAAGTGTGTGCTCACGGCAATCGTTTTTTACATTATTGTCGTAGATAATTACCTCTGTTTTGTTTTTGTTTAGTTGAAGGAAATTTTGGTTCATTTCATTATTAATTTGTTCTAGACAGTGACACAACACTTTCATTGAACTTTTGTCATTTTTAGGGACATTGATAGATATAGCTGCATGTCATCTGCATCGCCCTAATAGCCAAAATTGGCATTCTGAAGAATTTGATACCAAGTGTCGCACAGGCTGACCAAAAAGGGTCCAAGGACTGAACTTTGAGGGATCCCACACGTCATGACGATTTGATCAAATTCAACCTTCCCAAACATTGAGTTCTACACTACATCTTTCCTTTTTTAAAATAAATGCCATTTCAAGATTTAATCACAAACCTTTGTCTCATTTCGTCTTGTCCAGATTGTTTTTGAAGGAATCCGAGGGAAGGGCTTCGAGGGCGACATTGCCATCGATGACGTGTCTATCACCATGGGCAAATGCAAACAGCAGAACACTGTTGCCAGCGCAGGTAAGACAGGTAAGATAGATTGAGGTGTGAAGGGAACATTAATTGCATGGAAAAAACACGCAAGATCCGTTTGTCACAGCTTAATGAAAACCACATAACTCATCTCAACTTCACATATAGCATATGTACCGTGGTGTGTCGTCCTAACAAAGTGTTGCACATGAAACAGAGAAGACAATAATTAAAATGATAGCACAATTGTAAGTTACTAAATGAAATACATTTTCAAATTAAAATTAAGATGAGAAAATCGAATATCTTCTGATATCTCATGTAACTAATTTAGGTAACCAAAATATTAGACAGCCCTTAAGATGGTCAAATTCCCTCCCGTGTAATTTTATTTGTTATTTAATTCACATTTCCCTTCCATGACAAATATACTTCTACTTTCACCCTCTAACTTTCTCCACCCACGCTGACACTTTCTACCTGTTTTCCATCAATCGACTTGATTAGCAGTACACCTCTGCGGAGCTGCATCCTTAAGAGCTCTCATCAGACATGAGCAGAGAAGTGTTCATCCTGGTAAAAGTCAAATGAAAGAGAGAGGTTTTAGTGTAGACGGAACAAGAGTGTAGTTTGAATCGTGCATGTGCATGTGCGTGTGTGTGGGCACATGCAATAGGCAAAAAGGCATTTGAAGCAAAGAAGCCATTGCGAAGTAAGACTCCAGGATCACCATATAGGGTCAGGGTCTCAGTTCACTTAAAATGTACAAGGTTTAAAATGACAGACAATTCCCATGGGAAAAAAATAACGTTTTTTTTCACGACAAACAAATCAGAAGTTGATCAATGGAAGTAATATATAATTAGTAATATGGCTGCAAGGTCATTGTGAAAGTGAGAAAACACCATCACAGCCAGCCGGACCCATGACAACATCGAGAAAGTGAATTATTAACACCCTGCTTTTTTTTTTTTTTTTTTTTACCTCTTCAATCCACAGCTTGCCATGTGCGCGCACGTGCGCTTGCCCGCTCGTGTGAGATGCGGCACATATGTGTGCATAAAGACACTGGCGGATACTTTGAATAATGGATGAAGGTGTAAACAGGAAGGGGGGGAAACTCTTGAGTGCTTCAGAGTTCTCTGAGGTTGTCCTGCAGGTTGTGCGCGAGTCGGAACACTCCGTGCAGGCAGATGGGTAATTATCAAGCAGGCGGGCGGCTGAGCGCCCGCTGTAAGACACAAACGCTTCTGTCGGCCAACGTGCAGTTGGTGAGCTAAACACCAGGAATAGCAAAGCATTCGGCTCAAATTGTGCTTGACGGGGATTCAAAGTCAGAATAACGTTTGATTCAGCTTTAAAACAAATATAACGTAGTGTCTATCCATTGAATGAATCAAAACACTGAACTACTGTATAATAATAAAAAAATAAAATGAAATAGAATAAACGGGTTGATCAGCTCATGTTTTAATCATGTACAGCAATTGGTTTCAGTCTTTTTGGAAATAAGCAAGCCTATTCATTGTTAAAATAAATAGAACATAATGTACACTTATGCAAAATAAGTAAATGAAATAAAATAGAATAGAATAAAATTAATCAATAAATAAATCACATCTGTACAAATGAAGTGGTGAGAGTCTGGTGAAATTATGCAATGGTGGCCATGCATTTGCAGTGTAGAAGGAGTCTAACAGTCAATGCCACAAAAAGGTTTTGTCACTGATCATTTTTGGGGGGGGTTATAGTAGCCGCGGTTTTGCAGGTGCAAAGGTCATTTTTTATTTTTATTTTCATCAATTTCCAATCATGGCTCACCTGTTTTCTGAGATTGGTCATGTGACATTTGCAAACTGAGCCGTGATTGGCCATTTTTCTGAATGGCTGTGATGTCATTTTCCGTGGGAAAATGGCCACCCACTGAAATGAATGAAAATGGCTGCATTTTTGCTGCTTAATTCATATTCTGCAAACACAATAGAAATCAGAATTCTACGTTTAGAATCATTCATTGGCTTTTCTCTCTCTTTCTTAGTTCTGATCGGCGGCTCACAGGCGCGCCCATTGGCCAGACGGGTGACCGTTATCCTCGGCTGCATCGTCGCCTTGCTCTGCAGATGATGAGTGGTTGACCACAGCGCCACCTTACGTCTGTGCTGACAGACACTGCCCCGACTCGCGCTCTTTCTTCTTCTCTCGACCCGACACCCAGAATTCTTCCCCCACTCGCCCGTGTCCTCCCTGCATCGATGATCCATGCAAACACAGCCTTTACTTTATTGAAACACTTTGCTCCGATGACATATTATAACAAACATATTCTTATCATATATTTAAGACAAACATGTTCTCTATTAGTCCATTAGATTTCCTAATAGCCATGTCAAGTGTCCCCTCGCCTTCATCATTAGCCTACGTCGACATGTATGACCCCCCCCACCAAAGTGTCGGACACTCTACCAAAGATGACCTGAGGGAAAAGCACGAGGGATTCCGGGGAGCTGGCGAACGACACAGATAACGTGGGTGAATTTTTCCTTCTGCTGACCTTCGCCACCAGCCGAGCCGCCGAGCGACAGGAAGCTTAAGCTAAGTGAGGAATGAATGAATAAACTGGCAAGACAGAAAGAGGGCACAGAAAGGAGGGGGAACGAGGACGCTTCTGGTAGCCTCTCTGCTCGCCACAAAGAAAGTAAGATCGGTGTGGATTATACGTGTACATTAATCACTATATATTAAATATAAGCAAAGTTTAAATATAAGCGGGGGTGTTGGTGAAGGACTCTATGTACTGAAATTAAAGAAGCACAACATTTATACGATCTCTGTTGTTCCTTTGGGTTTTATTGAATTTATGTGACGTCACAATTTGTCTTGAGCAATTCCCTGTTTTTTTGATATTTTTGGATTTGTGTCGGCCTCTATGGTCAATCGGTGACATGAGTGTTGTGACACAGGTGTCAGGTGTTACCCATACCGAGCATACTGTGTCTATATGTGGTATTGAAAGCCGAAAAGTGCAACAAGTCATTGAATGTCCCGTAAGGAGAAGCTGGAGATGTGTATGTAGCTGCTGTGAAGAGCGAATTATATGTTCAATTCACCTTTTCGCTAAGCCACGCCCCTGAAATGCAGCCAAGCCAAACAGAGTGCAGTATAGAACTCAAAACCTGAATGAAGATAAGTGCCATAAAATAAAATAAAAAATGGATATATGTGAATTGAGAACCTGCACAAGAGATATTCAGGTTTCTGGATAAAGTGATATGACCATCCGCATAATCAATTCAGTCCATCAAAAAAATCACTTGTTCGCTTTTTCCAAATTTGTGTCATCCGTTCAATGTAGCTCAGTACTTCTCAGCACTCCAATCAAATCGCAAACATAACTTGAATAATTTGTGGCTTTTGCAAGCTACGCAAACCATTTGAAGGATTAGTGACAAGTAAACAGAGAGTTTGCTAGCTTTAGCCGAAATGTGTTGCTCCTTCATATCATCATCCTCCGGCTCGGTCCTTAAGCGATGCTGTGATTCAATTCTGTTTTGTGTGATTTCCTCGTGTCACATTGAAAGAATGGACGTGGCCTTCGAAGGCATTCCGGATCACACTTAAGCCGGTGGAAGCTTGTTGACTCCGACAGTTTGACGGATTCCGCGACGGTAGTTAAGGGGGCGGGCCTTGGTGAAAGGTGAATTCCGGAATAAATCTGCCGACATTGTTTTAACGCTTGAATGTCTGTGTCCCGTGAACAGTCACACAATTATCCTTTGCTGTGCAATGAAAAGCATGTATCGCCGCGTAACTGTTCATTTTCACTGCCAAGAGAAATAAGTTGATTTTTCTTGATATATCGCATTTTGGGGTTACATGCTTTGCATTGCATGGTATGGATATGATTGTTAAAATCGAGCAATACTCATATCTAGAGCTCCGTAACCCATAGTTTACGATTACATTTATGGTAGCGTTTCATCTTCTTGTCCACAAGGCATCAGGACTGAGTTTTAATGTAAAATTATGTGTTTATTCATCCAGGTCTATACTGTGAGTACAACTGTAGCCCTGTTTAATCATTCATTAATGTACCGTACATCAATGCTAATTCTTTTTTTTATTATTATGGTATGTTTTTCAGCATTCTCTGTATTTCGTCTCTGTCACCTCATATTTTTAGTGTTTTTTTTTTTTAATCTCATTTTGCCTTGATCACATGCTATTTGCTACAGTGTACATCATAGTGTGTCAATGTCACTTTTTGTTCCCGTGTCTGTCGCTCACGCTGGACAAAGCGGTAGAGATGGATGAATTAAATACAAGCAAAGCAAGCAGACCCGTGTTCTCAAAACGTAGATCCTGTTTTGTCTAGTTTTGTGTCTCTCACGCTCAGCTGATGGTTTTAGGAGAGGCTTTAAAAAAACATGTCCGCAGAACCTTTGTGTGCATTTTGTTTCAACTGGCAGCCATAAGAGAAGAAACATTTTCAGGTAAAACACAAAAAAAAAAAAAAAAACAGCTCACTAGTATGATATTAGACAATATTCGTGAACATTACAAGGCTGAGAGAGTTAAAGTGATCATCTGTTTTTGTATGGAGGAAAAACATTTAGTGGCCTATCCTATTCAGTTTTTACATCATTTTATGAACACTTCTCTTAAGAAATAAAGCAAGCTTAAAACATTTCTTGCATAAACACCAGCTGGCTGCTAATCTACTTTGTGTTTATCAAAGAAACATAAGGCTTTGTTTCATAGTATGCCATCTGTAAGTCTGCCCGATTCCCTAAAATGGCGGCCTCCACTCAGACAGACACCGCTCCCCTCTGAACCGCCACTGTTTTGTCCACTCGGGCAAATAAATGCCATGAGTAAAATTGAGACCCTCAAGAAAACACAACAAAAAAAAAAAAGATGCCATAATTGCCTGTATCACCACCACCACCATACTTGATAATTTATCTGTACTGCAAAACACACCACCCACACACTAGATGTAGCAACATATAATGTAAGAATAGAGGCATTATAATAGGTACTTATCACTTGATATCTTTTGTCAGGAAATTATTTGATATGGTTATAAATCCCGAGTCAAGATGGAATTACCACTGATAGATTCCTTAAAGGGGAAGTCAGCTCAGCAACTGTCTTTTCAAGAGTATGTTCTATACGCAACACAAGTCTAAACACAGCGTTCTAATTAACAGTGCGTTAACATACTAACTGTATGGAGTGCTTCAGGTCACTTCGACCTTGCTGCAATTCCTCACCATCAGCATCTATTGGATCTGTTCTCCATGGATGGTATAAATCTGTTTTCTTTCACCCCGTAATATTTGTAGATGAAGAACCCAATTTAATTTGAATTCATTTAAATCCAAAGTGCATCAAACCTCTGCAATTCAAAGTTTCTTTGCAACCTTATTTTTGAAAAACGACACCTCACTCTCTGACCATGGTGACACACAAATAAGATTCACAATATGATACAATTTTTTTTTGTAATTAATTGTTGATTTTATATTTTCGACAGTTTCAATGTCATTTTATGTCTTCGTTGGATCATCTTTCTGGCTCTCCGTGGATGTGATCGATTGAATCTTTGTTGGATGCAACACGTGACGATTAATGAGGTATCTAAGGAGCAAATACATTCTTCCGCCCGCATCCGAAAAGAAAAAAAAAAAAAAAACCATCAGCGTTGGCTTGCTAATGAGTTTTATATTCAAAGCTGCCCGCTCGTGCAAGGCTAATTTGTGCATGACGCCTAATGAATCACACATCTCATCTTTCAGCGTGTCACCACAAGGTCTAACCGTCAAAACAAATACCACACCATCTATTATTACACTCCAAGACATGTGTCATGATGCTCTTCCTTGTCACACAAACATTACTGCTCACAATATATTGTGGTTTATTTCCTTGAATCGTTTTTTTTCCTTTCTTTTTTTTTTAATCAGCATCTTACTTCATCTTGCACAGCTCAAGTTTGGTCTTGCTTGCGTGTCACATCACTTCTAATGACGACCACTGCGTTCCGCCAAGACAGAGGCACTGTCGCAGCAGCATAGCTCATAGTTTTCTCGTAGTTTGCCCCAAAAATATCAAAGGGTCTGCATCATGCTACTTTAAGCTTTCCTCAGTCAACTATCAGTGTAGATATGATTATAAAAAAAAGATTACCTTTGGCAGAATGGCTCTTTAATTTCTTACTAAAAAAGTTACAAAAAAAGCTATCCGATTTTGAGTCTTAATTTATTCTATCATGCACAGTTTGAGAAAGTGTATTATTTTTAAAGACAATATCTTTTTATTTAGAATGACCAACACTCATGCCACATGTTTTAGAGTTGAGTGTGCATGCATTGGGCATTGCATCGGTTTGATATTCCGCCGCGCACGTCCCTTGTGTATTAGCCACGGGTGTGCAGGCAGAACAATTGGACATCCTTACGACTGTCCTCTTTACATTATTCATCAATCACTGCTCTTCTGCTCCGCTGTCTTGAAATGTTTCCTCTGTGAAAAAAAAAAAGAGGGCCGCAAAGGTAAAAGGTGGAATTGTTCTGATAAATTTTTCACGCTCGCAGTGATAAAAGAGTGAAAATGACCTGAATATGTGATAAAGGCTCAGATGTTTCTGATCTTCAAATGCGTACTTCTCTGACTTTTGTGCTTGCAGGTCATAATCTCCAGTATCCACATGTTGGGACAAAAACAAGATTTACAGGTCACTCAGTGCTCACACAAAAAAAAACATTGGGTCAAATGAAATGTATTATACTGTATATTACGATTGCACTCTAAAAATCACTTTTTCCATTACAATACTTCTGAATCTAGATTTCAATGTGCAACACGACTTTTGCAATACTCTAGAGTTGTTTTAAAAATGGCACTGAGATTAATGGTATACCTATGCATTTTGTCCTTAAACAAACAAACACACACACACACACACACACACACACACACACACACACACACACACACACACACACACACACAGTCAATCGTACAAGATGCCTGATATCAGCATACATTAAAGCCAGGCATATGGAAAGATAGATGTGCAACATTTTAGTTGGAAATAAATTCCCAAGTCCGGTTTTGCTTGGCATGCAGCTGGAATTAAAGTGACTCCCATTGCTGTAATGATCACAGCTATCGATTGGCGCGTGCCGCATATAGACAAGGTCATGCAGTAACTCTCAGACTAAAGGACAAACAAAGAAAAGAAACAGGAAGCTGCTTTAATCACATTTGGATTTACAAGACAATACCGATCCGTTTTCCATTTTGGGTAACTCCAGGTTCACTTAAGGTCATACATTATTCTGCGGACAACCCGTACCACTTTGTATGGGCCATGTCGTTACACAGCAGTGTTTTGCAAATGTCCTGCAACTGTTCAAAGCTGCATTAAATAAATTAC